TCACACTATTGGTGTGATATCACCTAAAACCCAGGACAATCCACCCTCACACAGGTGGCTTCTCCCACCTCCCAAAAGCAGGACGTGCGGGTGACTTCTCCACACATCGCTTTCACTTTTTACTCATTTCCCTGCACATCTTTACCACTCACAGTTAATTCCCTTCAGAGCCTGAATCCCACCCGAATTCCCAGAAGGGCTGGGGGTGGGAAGGCACCTGCGGAGCTCCTCCAGCCCAGCCCCAGGTCAGGCTCACAGGACACATCCCGGCCATCTCCCAGCTGCTCCCGGAGCCTTTCAGGGACCTCTCCCCCGGCTCTGAGCCCCTCCAAGCCGTTCCCATTCCCAAACCCACAAACCCCGTGCACGCCGCTTTTCCTCCCGGTGCCGGGCGCTGAAACCCGGCTCAAACTCCGCCCAAACCGAGCCGAGTTGGGCTGAGCCGAGTTAAGCCGGGCTGAGCCGCTCCCCCCGCACCCACCTGCGCTCCGGCCTCACCGGCGGCCGCTCCCGGAGCCGCTGCCCCGGCGGGACGAGGCGGAAACGGAGCCGCCAACGGAGCCGCACCTGCGCCCGCCCTCGCCCGCCCTCCGCGCGTCCCCTGCTGGTGTCCGGAGCGGCCACCGAGCGGCCCCGAGCGGCCCCGGCACCGCCACATGGGCTGGGAGAGGCTGGAGGGATGTGGGCACAGCCAGATGTGTGATGGGAGAGGCTGGAGGGATGTGGGTACAGCCAGATGGGGATAGGGAGGATCTGGAGGGGATTTGAGTACAGCCAGATGTGCGTTGGGAAAAGCTGGAGGGATGTGGGCACCGCCAGATGTGACCTGGAAGGGTCTGGAGGGATGTGGATACAGCCAGATGTGTGATGGTAGAGGCTGGAGGGATGTGGGTACAGCCAGATGTGTGTTGGGAAAAGCTGGAGAGATGTGGGCACTGCCAGATGTGACCTGGAAGGGTCTGGAGGGATGTGGGTACAGCCAGATGTGGATAGGGAGGATCTGGAGGGGATTTGGGTACAGTCAGATGTGCAATGGGAAAAGCTGGAGGGATGTGGGCACAGCCAGATGTGCACTGGGAAAGGCTGGAGGGGATGTGGGCACTGCCAGATGTGCACTGGGAAAGGCTGGAGGGGATGTGGGCACCGCCACATGTGCTGGGAGAGGCTGGAGGGGGTGTGGGCACTGCCAGATGTGGATAGAGAGGGCCTGGAGGGACGTGGGCACTGCCAGATGTGTCCTGGAAGAGGCTGGAGAGGATGTGAGCACAACCAGAAGTGCATTGGGAAAAGCTGGAGGGATGTGGGCACAGCCAGATGTCACCTGGGAGGGTCTGGAGGGGATGTGGCTGCAGCCAGATGTGGATAGGGAGGATGTGGAGGGATGTGGGCACAGCCAGATGTGCCCCAGACCTGTGTGAGGCTCCAGGCACTGCCAGATGTTCACCAGCAGCAGAACAGGGCTGTTGCCACTGCCAGATGTGATCCAGGTGAGGCTAAGGGTGATGTGGGCACAGCCAGATGGGCCCCAGAACCTTTTCTGGGCTCTGGGCACTGGCAGATGTGCATCCCAAAACAGAGCAAGAGCCCACGGGAAAAATGCACCAAACCGTAAACAAGGAAAGGTGGTACCGAAACAAACCCTGAAAAAGACCAAACAAAAAGTTTCCCCAAACAATAACAACAAAAAAACCCGCCCAAAACAGAAACAAAACAAACAAAGCTACCCAACCAAACAAACCACAAACCCACACAAACAGAACAAACCCTCCAAGAACCAGAAAAAGAAGAAAAAATAAAACCCAAAAACCAAACCAACCCAAAATCCACACAGGAAATGAAAAACAAAAACCCAACCCCAATAAAAAAGGAATTTTGCAGGGTTTAAAAATATGTTCACACCAAGAACAGAACAAGGCACCTGCCAGGCCTGGGACAAGCACAGGGGGCTCAGACCCTTTAAAACTTAAGGGCCCAAACCTCCTGAGCAATCCCAATTACAGACGTGCTGGTAATAGCAGCAAAATTTGGGTTTATGGAGGGACAGCCTGGGATCCTGTGGTGAGTCAGCAGCAGATCACAGGAACACAATTATTGCTTTGCACCAGAACACAGGAACTTGGGCTCCTCACTGTCTAAATGTCCACTTGATGCTGTGAGTAAATTTGCCATGTGACAGGAAGGGATAGGGGGGAATGAGGGAGCGAAAAGAGAAAGAAAGGGAAAATAAATTGTGTTTCTATTGCCTTTTCAGAGCTGGTTGTTGACAAATCTGGAGCTTCTGCAAAACCTTTCACCTCTACATCCACCAGGGTCAGCTCAGGGACCCTCAGCCCCCTTGCCCCTGAATCAAGCTGAAGTCTAAGCAGATATTTTTCTTTTTGGTTCAGGCAACTGTTGAAAAATACATCAGAGGGAACATTTTGCATGAGCACAGAGCCTGCAGCTCCGTGGAAGAAAACACTTGACGATGACATTTCGCACCAGGGTAGTTCTTCCACACAGTCAATAATATAAATAAATTAAACACACGGTTCAGCCAACTTCAGGAAGAAGATAAATTACCTTATTTAACCAGCTGTGCTGGCAGGGAAATGACACACATCTCAGAGCCTGCATCCATCCTGCTGTTGAATTTTTCTTGTCAGGATCCCCACAGTTGCTCCAGAGTGTGCAAGGCTGGGCCTTGGCAGCTGGGTGCCACAGAGAATAAATATGATGTTACATTAAAAAATTTTAAAGGCTAAATACAAGGTTTTATCTTTGATAGCACAGAGTCAATTTTTAATAGACTCGTTTCTCAGAAGCCAGGCACTTCCAGTTCTACCCAAAGAACCCTTCAAAGTCTCTCTTTTATCAATGATGGGTTTTGCTGAATTATTCACCAGATCACAGCTGCCAGAGATTTTAAATATCCCCGTGACAAGGACAATGAGGGATAACAACCTCCTCCTGCAGGCTCCCAGTGCTGCTGGCAGTGGCACCGTGCCTGCCCTCAGCTGATCCCTTCTCTTCTCCTGTGTCACCTCAGGCTGGGATGCTCCTCAAGGAATGGCAAAGAAGGAGCCGCAGCTTTTTGGAGAGGTTAAACTTGGTCCTGCAGAGGAACCGTGGGTGTTTAAAAGCAGCTTTAGAATGGTCCAAGCTGGGAGAATCCTGGAGAGCTCACAGTTTGGACACCGGGCTGGTGAACACCAGCAGGTCAGACTGGCTGGATCTTTATTTCTGAACAGCAATTTCCCAGGAAAACTGGAGCAAGGAGCTGTCTGGCACTGCTTTCCCTCCTGCCTGACTGCCCCAGCTCAGCTCAGCTGCTTCACAATTCACAGCAACAAGTCCAGGGCTTTTCTCCAAGCTGTTGCTCTGATTGCAATCCTCTGATTCAATTTGTGTTCATCCCTCTAATTACCTCTCCTGAATAAAATGTCAACGATTCTGTCCCTAATCTGAACCAAAAAGGTCTTGTTTACAGAGCACACCTGCTCAAGGGTGTACAAGACAAAGCAAATGCTGGAAGAATATTGATACTTCACAGCAAAATCTGCTTCTTTTTTAACCTGTTTTAAAGAAAAATTCCCAATTCTGATCCACATTTTGCTTGCATGGCAAGGCTCTGGTCTAAATCTCCTTTCCTTGTTCACATTGAGCTGCAGCTCCCACAAGATCATTTCACAAGGCTTCCTTGGTACATCCATACACAAATTCTGTGCCTCTGTGGCACAGGAAAATGATGCACATTTGGGAATACACTGGGAAATTTAGAGAAATTTCTCAGTGTAGTTGTATCCAAAGTCAAAAAGGGCAGCAGGGTTTGCCTGAGGATTTTGCCCTTCCAGGATAACCCAATCTGCTGCTGGGGCACCCCAGCTCGCAGCCCTGCAGCAGCAGGAGGGGCAGATCAGCAGGAAAAAGCTGCTCCTACCTGTCCTGGCATCCAGGGAAAAGCTGTCAGAAGATGATTTTCTTTATAGGCAGCTCAGGCCAGCAGCTCCCACTGGGCTCTAATTTTGGCTGGCAAGTCAGGTTTTATCATAATAACATTAACAACATCCACCACTTGTCATTAGCAACAAGTAATCCCCTGCCAAAAATACCACACTGGTATGGATGAATTATTTACACCCCATCAGTGCTGCTGCCATTTTTCTTCTCTTCTGCCCTGTGTCACTGTCCCTTTTATCCACAGGCAGCTCTGGGGACCTTCTGGCTGCTGTCCAGCGTCAGCATTGGGCATGAGAGCATCGGTGGGAGCAGGAGCCTGATGCCACCTCCTGTCCCAGTGTCACATCTGAACACGTCAGGAGAAAAGAAGAAGGGAGGAGGAGGAAAAAGCACCCAAAAAGGATTAAACCACCTGGAGACGACCTGTAAGAGGAGCATGGCTTCAGCAGCTGCTCCTGGAGTTGTGAGGAAGGATTTTCACCTCTGGAGCCTGCCAGGGTCTCACAGCTCTTCCCACCAACCCCGCAGCAGCAAGGGCAGGGCTGCAGCAGCCCCAAAAACCTCAGAGAGATGCTGCTGCCCCAGAAACTGAGCTTGCACTACTCTGGTGGGAGTAAAGGTGGAGAGGGAGGGAAAGGAAAAGGCAAACTGGGCAAGAGGAAGGGAAACGGGGAGAGGAAGGAAGGGAAAGATGAGTTTCCCTCAGCACCCTGATTTACAGGGCTGAGGTGTGTGAAGGGATGGGGTGATTTGGGGTTCGGCGCTTCCCCTGCCAATCCTGCAGCACCTCGGGGCTGGGACAAGGACAAGGGACAGGGGACAAGGGAGGACAGGGGACAAGGGACAGGCACAGCCCAGCACCTGCTCACACAAAGGGATGGGGTGATTTGGGGTTCGGCGCTTCCCCTGCCAATCCTGCAGCACCTCGGGGCTGGGTCAGGGAAAAGGAACAAGGACAAGGGACAGAGGACAGGGGACAAGCACAGCCCAGCCCCTGCTCACACAGGGGACAAGGGCAGGGAGCTGCTCCTGGTGACAAAAAGGCGAGTCCAGGCTTGTCCCTGTGTCACCCTGCCGGGAGCGAGGGAAGGCGCTGGCATGGAGGGAGGAGAGGGGAAGGGACAAGGTGAGGAGGAGGAGGAGGAGGGGAAGGCTCGGAGGGGAGGAGGCCGCAGAGGGGTCACAGGCAGGAGGGAGGCCACGCTGGGGCTGCTGAATTTCCTCCCCCTGCTCCCTGCAGGCCATTCCAGGGCTGTTGGGCAGCAGAGGGATGCGGGAAGGAGGAGGAGGAGGGAGCCGGGACCCCCTCCAGCAGCGGGCACGAAGCCACCAGGGAGGAAGAAGCCACCAGGCAGGAGTGCCACCAGTGCCACCACCGCCAGCACCAGGGCAGGTGAGAAAAATCTGCTTTTCCCAGGGAACCACCCGTGGTGATTTAAAACATTCTCCTGCCCTCTGTTTGTACCCAGATTTTCTTCTCTGGCTACAAATTGATCCCAGAGATGGAGCACATGTAACTACACCGAATAAGCAGTAGGAGGCAGAAGGGAGTTGAGAATTCCACAAACTGCCCGGGATTTGGGATGCTGTTCATATTTAGGGGATAATTAAATATTCACCCTTGCAGTGGATTACAGCACTGAACTATCAGTGGGGGTGAGTGGTTGGTAAAACTACAGAAAAGGAAAGGTAATTCCCAAAAATTTTCTGTGTAAAGGAATAATTCCATTCATTTTCACTATGTTAGTACAAAAAGTGCCTGAAAGTTTCCAGAAATTGTACTATTAAAAAATTAAAATCATATGGCTCACTTTATTAATGGATGGCAGCTTAAAAAAAAAATCCCCAACAACTCAGAACGATTTCCTGCTAAAACTGAGTCAGGCAAACACAGTGAACTTGATGCCAGTGCAGAAGTGCTATTAATGCATTAACAGCTTCAATAAATACATTTTTACAGGTGTGACAATCCCTATGCTGGCCAATCGGAAAAATATCTATTTCCTACTTAAAAATAAGATTTTTGGCCCATTACTACTTTTCCCGTAGATTTGGGGTTTTATTAAGGCACAGCAAGCCATTGCCTTTTTTTTTTTTTTGTTTTATGAAATAATCAGGGAAGTTCAGAGGCAACACTTACCTTTTTGCTAACAGCATTTATCATTTCAACAGCAGAACAGCACCAAAAGAGCAGAAAGCAGCGGGCCCACTCCCCTCCAGTGCTTCAAATCCCAGCTCCTGGGAGGAACCCTGACTCAGCCCAAAGCTCTGCACAGGGGAATGAGGAGGATGCAAAAATAAACGAGGCTGTAGCACCAGCTGGCAGCATTTTGGGTTCTGCTGGGGCAGGGGAAGGTCTCAGTGCTCAGCTGAGCCAAAGCCTCCGCTGGGATGGGGCTCTGGAGGATCCCCAGGCAGAGAGGGAAAGGCTGCAGGTTTATAGGGTGAACAGGAGGAAAAGGTATGAATTGTATATCCAGGAGCACTTCCCAGCTGCCAGGAATTCCCCACCCCTCCACGGCAGCAGCAGCAGGTAAAGGAGATTCCTGCAGTGATTATTTGGAAGAGCAAAAATTGCTGTGCCCGAATGCTGATTGAGGAGTTGCTGTGAACTGAATGCTGAAGGAGCCTCTGAGCTGCACCAGGGGTGTCACCCAAAATCCCAATAATTTCTGTATCCTAACAGTGGTTCCTCAATGTCTGTGTGGAGAAAAGGACATTTATATTTTACAAAACAAACCTGGTAAAATATGGCTGCAACTCAGACTGCATCAACAATTAAAGTGCTCCTTTCTACACTGCGTTTGTGCTAATTATTGCTGTTGGTTTATTTACAAATAACACTGCTAAACTTTCCAGCTATTCACGTTGTACACTGCAGATTTGTGAGCAGATGAAGGATCAGACACCTTGTTTAGAGGCTGAAATGATTTCCAGGCACATGAACTTACCTTCCTTGAAACTGAGTGAGCTGCAAAGTCAGGGTGGGAATCCAGCCCTCACCTCCTGGCTTTTGATCCAATTGTTGCTTTATTTTTGTAATAAAAATTCATTATCTCAGACCCTCAGGTGTGACATTCTGGAGAAGCACATGTGAAAGGCAAACAGCACATCCAGAACAACAGGGCTTCCTTCTAACGCTAATTAGAAGTTCATTGGGCCAATATGATTTAAAAATCACATGGAACAGCCTTGTACTCCCCAACTTCAAATTTTTATAGGAAAAAAATGTTTTTCATACAGAGTGTCATGACAATATCTAAGGAGAACAGCCCAGCCCTCACTGCAGGAAGATTTGAAAGTTAGGTGACATCTGAAAGTCTCCCCGAACTCCCCTGCAAGACACTGTGCTGACTTCTCAAGTTTTTTCTTAATGACTTTTTAAATCGACCCTTTTATACAGAATTGACGTTTATAAGTGGCTTTTCTCCTGTTTAATACTTCAAAACTCCAGGATACCCAAAAGCTCTGAGAGCCTTTTGCTGGAAGCAGCAGCTTTGCAGCAGCTCCACGGCTCCCCAGACCCCAATAATGTCATTACATGCAACTCTAGAGCTTCCACAAGCACATAACCAGATGAACAATAAAAAAGTAAGCAAAAAATCCCATTAGGAATTAATTAACTGATGTTCAATTACATCCATTCCTGCTCTGCCAGAGTCACTAACAAAATCAGCACGCCTGCAAAATGTGGAAAGGTTAAAAGAACAGATTAAGCATCCAGAAAACCACCAGAGCATTTCTCTCAACACAATAGCTTATAATCATCTCTTTTGGTTTTATAAAGTTTAATGCATAACACACTCTAATCTTATATTTATGCTGTGTTTACTAATGCAGCATTTGAGCATCTACATTTTAAAAATAAATTCCTGCCTGGTTAAATACATGTTATATTTGAAAGGGATTAGTTCTTCACTTGTAGGATATGCTGAAATTCATACCAGAAACTCTCTTTAAAAATAAAGCTGTACCAGATGAACAATTCAAACACATTAAGGAGAGGATTTTCAGCTGTCTTTAAAGAACTTTTTCAATGTCTTACTAAACTGACAAATCCACAACATTTGGTGTTGGTTTGGTTTTTAATATAGACAGTTTTATATAGGAAACACCCTCCTAGAATATGCAAACAAAAATAGAAGAGAAAGGAGGGGAGCTGGGATTGGCAGGAAATATTATGTATTTATTTCTAAGTAACTACCACAATAAACACTGAAAAGGTTTGAATGAGAAATAAAGAGACTTCCCTGCAGCATGGTTTTCAGATCATTTATTACCAATAAAGTAAAAGACAAACTGAAAATCAGAAGGAGGGGGTGGGAAACATCACAGACACCAGAACACTTGCACAGAGCTAATCAGAGCTTTGCAAATGTTGGAACATAAATAATTTAAAAGGTATCTCTACCAATTAAAATATCCTTAAGAGGCACACATTAAGTTTGCTTGCTTTATAAAAATCAGGTGCTTTATCCTAAAACCAGAGCATGAGGGGCATTTTGTGGGTTATTTTGCTTCTAACTAGTAACAGCTAATGGCTACATCTTAAAACAACCTCCTCTTAGATGTGCTCCAAGTGGATTCCTTGGGAGAGCATTTGTGGGAGCAATCCAGGGTCTGTGTTCTCCCAGAGCCCTGTGCCCAGCAACAGCAGGAGCAAACTGCGGGGAGCGAGGGATGGATGGAGCAACCCAGCGAGCAGAGTGTGAAACCCCACGGGCTGTGGGGTGAGCTGGGCCTTCTGTTACACCACCAGCACATCCTGGGGCACACTTAGGGCACAATTGCATCATCTGTTTAAGACACATCTCCCCACTCTTGCAGCCTGAGACCAAAGTGTTTAAGGGTGACGCTCTGAGCTCCGGAGCGCTGCCTGCCCAGCCGTGTCCTCTCTCATCCTGGGATTGTTTTGGGAGCTGCCTCTCTGAGGCGAGTACCAAAGGTGAAGGATGTTCTTTGCTGAGCTAATAAATAAGTAAAAAAACCCCAACAACAACGATAAAAAAAAAACCCAAACCATACAAACTCAAGGTTTCCTTCCTGCTGCACTCTTCATCTCCCGACTCCTTTCAGTTCCCTGGGATTCACTTCCACACCATCCATCACACTTGCACAAACACACGTTAAGCACAGCTCAAGAACAGCCTCCCGAGGCTGCCACTGACAAAACTCACCCCTGGGGCTGTGCACTGCCAAGTCCTCTTTAAAAGCTGCTCCAGGACTGGTGCTGCACACCCACACCTCGGGGGAGTTTTGGAACACGTGGGTGTCCAGCTCAGACAGGTCTATCAGGTGTTTCTGAGAGACTACACCACACAAAAAACCAGCACAACCCACACTCCCCAAAGCAGATGCTCTCCACACTATGCTCTGTCAACACAGGAAAAAAAAATCTGGGAAAACAAGGAAACCTCTCTGTCTTATTTTCATCAAGGCACACGATAAACAAACGCACGTAACAGCCAGACAGACTTTCATAATATCTGAAGCTATTCCCTTTGGTCCCCAAACTCATCACACACTCAGGAGAGGTTTTTCAGCAGCCTGCAGACAGGCAGAGGCTGCCCCATCCCAGTGACATCCCCAATCCCCAGGACACGGATTTGTGCCATGACAAGCTCAGCTGGGAAGCAGAGCTACAGCTGTGGATTTTGTTATGCACCACAAACCTGCCTGTCCCTTGCTACTTTTACCTCCTCCCAACCCCACCACAACAGTGTCTCACAGCCAATCCAACACCTCCTTGGCCATTCTGGGTCTCTCTGTCCAGCACTTTATCTGAATCTTGCTTTGGTTTACAGCTCCTTTAGTGCATGCAGCTTGTGTGGGCAAAAACAAGGCACTTGTGGTTTTTTACCTCCACATCACCAAGATCCAACAACACAGGGATAATTTCTGGCCTGGTATTCTCTGTTACAAGCCCTGCTGCAGGCACAGAAACACTTGTGTGTCACACAGAACAAGGGCTCCTCATTACCCCAAGAATTGGAATCACACAATCCTGTCTCTGCTGCCTGGAGCTGCAGAAGCAGTTCGTCCCCTGCTTTGCTCAGAACTCCTCTTCTTCCCAATTTACACCTTCACACAAAATGTGAATGCCACGTTAACATTTTTGTATGCGTTAAAAGCAGAGTTCTGGGGTTTTCTCTGTTAGCCTTCCCCAGCAATTTCCAGGGGATGGTTTTTCTGGAGAAAACACAATCTAAACTGAAATGGCTGACAGCAATATGTGTGACTACACGATGTGGCGGATCCTCTGCAAGAGAGCGAACTGCCCTTACTTTCTGCACATCACCAAAGCACCAAATGGATCTCCACCTACCAACCACTACCCCACACTCCTCCTTACCTGTCACCTTTTCCTCTGGGGGAAATCACTTCCCGTTGTTATTTTCACCTGATTACAGCGGGGAAGGGGAGGGAACCCGCGGCTTTCGGGAGGCGAAGAGCCAAGCCCCTCGCGCTAAGTTACTTTCCCACAGAAAACCACGCTCGGGCCGCCGTGAGGCTTTAAAAGCAGGAATTAAGAGCTGAGAGAGAGGGTCTGTGCCTGCTTTTAGCAAGTGGAGTCAGCACAGTTTGTGAGGGGCGGATGGGAGCGAGAGGGGCGGCCGCCCTCAGCAGCCGTGCAGGCCGCGGTCAGCAGCCGTCCAGGCCGCACTCGGTGCTGAGGCACTCCGAGGTCTCCAGCTCCACGCTGGAGAGGAACCTGCGCGTGGCCTTGCGGCAGTTGTAGTCCAGCGTGGTGGTGTAGACAGTCTTGGCGTGCTTGGGGTAGATGATGGTGGTGCTGGTGAAGCGGCGGGGCCTGTGGCGCGGCTCGAAGCGCACCTCGGCCTTGTAGCTGCGCCACGAGCAGTTGGGCACGCAGACGATGGTCTGGCTGCACGAGGCCACGCTCAGCCCCACGGGCAGGTACACGTCGGCGATGAAGTGCTTCTCCGAGTCGTACCTCACCGAGGAGGTGTACCTGTGACAGAAAAGCCTGTGTTTATTCTGGAATAATCAGGTAAAATCATTGGGTTGAAAGAGATCTTTACGATCATCGAGTTCAACCCAGCCCCAATACCTCAGTTAAATCAAGTGCCACATCCAGTCTTGTTTTAAACACATCCAGGGATGGTGACTCCACCACCTCCCTGGGCACCTCATTCCAATATTTCATCACCCTTTCTGTAAAAAACTTTTTCCTAATATCCAACTTATATTTCCTTTGGTGCAGCTTGAGACAATATCCTTTCGTTCTGTCAGCTGCTGCTTGGAGAAAGAGACCAACCCCACCTGACTGCAACCGCTTTTCAGGGAGTTGTAGAGAGTGATAAGGTCACTTCTGAGTCTCCTCTTCTCCAGGCTGAACACCCCCAGCCCCCTCAGTTGTTCCTCACGGGGTTTGTGTTCCAATCCCCTTACCAGCCTTGTTGCCCTCCTCTGGACAATCAAGCATCTCAACATCCTTCCCAAACTGAGGGGCACAAAGAAAAATTACAGGGAGGAAGAAATAATTCTAATATAATTAGAATTACTAATTAGATCATTAATATAATTAGAATTACTAATAACTACAGCAGTGCAATTGTAGCTGGTAGCTAGGAGAGCACTTCTGTTGGAGACAAGCTCCAGTCACAGAAACACAACGTTTAAACATTGTTGACCTCATCCATAGAAATAACTCTGTGTAGTCTCAGGCCAGTGATTCTTTAAAGGACAAGGATTCATATTTGCATGAATGTGCTCTGGCATCAGCATGACTGATGGGACATCTGAGGTGGATGAAGCAGGGCTGAGGATGGGTTGCTGCAGGGGATTTGTGTGCTCTGCTCATGGGTTTGTGGCAAGAGGAGCTGTCAGGTACTGGAGCGGCTCCTCATCCCACCTCACACAGAACCATCTGCTGGCGTCTTACACATTCACAGGATGAGAAAAGAGCCTTATGTTAGCAGCATTCCCAGGATTATCACTGCCTAGCCCAGCTGCCAGCACTACCAAAACTTCCTGTCAGCCCTGAGCTCTGAATGTACAAACCTCCTGCAAACTCCCAAACCCGGAGGCCTTGATCCACATTTAGGCTTGGCACACAAACATCCCAACTCCTCTGGGCTGGGAAGCACACGTTATCTCCTCAGCTTTTCTCTGCCAGGAATCACCCAGGAGTGCTCTGCTATCGCCCCTGGCACGGGGCACTCTCTGAAGACAAACTCCTCAAGGTTCAGCTGGCAGGAAAACACTCCAGCTTGCACACCCAAGCCCTCTGAGCCTGGGTTGCAAAAGAAAATTTTAATCTCCTTCACACTGAGACAACTCAGTTGGCTTTTCCACTAACGAAGCAGTTAACTGCCTCCAATTCCAGCCACAGCACAGCTCCTTCCCCACACCAGGACATAATTCTCCCTATCCTCCCCTGCATTAGGCTTCCATTTGATTTTATCAGCCTCCCTCTAATTGCACAGTCATCAACTGGGAGCCTTCTTTTCTCATTACTGCAAATCATGGTGTTCAAAGGAATAATTCACAGGCTGTGAAGTGATGCAGTGCATTAAAAAAAAAAAAAAGAATTATGCACTCCTCTGAATGTTAACATTTCTTTCAGTTCACACAACCAGCCCCAGCTGTTAAGATAGAAAGTGCTTATTATAAAGCCAGGAGGTTGAAAGAGCAACATTTCTTTCCCTTAATGAAACAGCCCTAGAAAGATCTTTGAAGGTCTTCCCTCATGACTGCCTCCTGGTTAATCAGCTCAAGGGCAACGTTTTGGAGCAGTGCAAGGAAGGAAAAGCAGGAGAATAAAATGTAAGAAAGTCTTCCTGGAAAAATAACCAACCAAACAACCATATGGGTGGGATTAAAAGAGGCTGAACACTCCTTTAGCCTGTACAAATGTCCAGGTCCAGGAATGTACAGCTGCAGTGAACAATGGCTCTGCAAATAAATTAACTTGACTCACAGGCACTGATAAGGCCTAACTGCTCCTTTACAGGCTAACTCCTCTAATTCCCTCCAAAGGAGATCACTGTAAGACAATATATACCTTATTTCCTTGGCTGGTAAAGGGTCAAACTCAACTCCTTCACCAAAGGATAAAGGACACAATCTTGGAGGGCAGCTGGATAGAATGGGGCTGGGGGAGAACACGGAACTCTGCAAAAGAAATGCAAAATGTTTCATGTTACCATACTGTGGCAAATTTACGTTACAATGCAGCACATGCTCAGGAAAACAGATTTATTTATCCCTTGGTAGGGAGATGTTGAGGTTCACATTTACGTGCAGGAGGATCTGCTGCACCAAGATGTGCTACAGGTGCATCCCTTAGGCCTGACTCCACACTGATCTAAAGCATCCTAGAGGTGGCCAGGAGCATTTTTTGAAGACAACGTCCCAACTTCAGCAGCTTAATGCAGAGGAGCCACTCTGGGAAATGAGAGAGGACTGCAACCCCTCTGTGCAGTGTGGTCTGTTCCCTGCATGAACCCACAATCAAGTTATAACCAACATTTTCTGGTGTCTGAGGGTTCCCTCCTGGCTGAATTCACCCCATACCCCCACGGACAGACCACAGAGGAAATTACCACAAGGCACCTCACCATGAGCCGCCTCCCTGCTCCACAGCTACGCCCTGGCCCCCGTTTTAAGGCATTAAATCCAACCTAATTCACACACCAAGCGTCGGGAAGGATTAACTCATTCCCGCCGAGGGGTGGGTGATTCACTGCCTGTCCCCGTGCTGCTCTGACACCCAGCACCACGAGCTGACACTGAATCCCACAGCCCGAGGAAACCAAAGCAGCCCTGGAAGATGGAACCCAACCCGTGTGTGCTTCTGGAGCCACCTCTGCACGTGTGTTTGCTATCGAGGGGCTGGGGGGCTGTGAGCATCTTTCCCTCCTATGGCTTTTTCCAATTCCACAGCAGCAGCCCTGTAGAAAACGGATTTTCCCTCTAAATCTGCAGTTTCCAAAGTATTTGCACCAGCAGCTCAACATCCAAACACTATTTGGTGAAAAACCAAATTAACTGAAACCGCACTTTATGCACGATAAAGTTACTGCTCCGGGTCACTCGGGAATAACGGGAGCTCACTTTCCACAGGGATTTCCAAAGACGTGCTGCGATGCCAGGAGGGACAGGAGCTTCCCTCGCAGCCAGAGCTTTGTGAAAAGCCCCGGCCACCCCGCTTCCCGGCGGGACCCTTCCCTCCCGGTGCAAACCTATTCCGGGACACCACAGCGGCCGGAGGGCTCGGTTAAAACGGAGAAAAACAGCGGGCGGTTCTTCCAGCCCATCCCAGGGCGGCCAGACCCGGTTCCTCCCTCCTTTCCCCGCGGGATGCGCGGAGCAGCGCGGGGAGCTCCGGAGGGCAGCGGCTCCGCCGGGACCCCGCACCTGCCGCGGCGGCACCGGGGAGCGGGGCTGCCGGTCCCGGGGGCTCCGGAGGGTGCGGGCAGAGCGGGGAGGGGCCGGTACTCACCGCGGCGGAGGGCGCGGGCGGCTCGGGCTCCGGGAGCCCGTTGGCGGCGGCGCGGTCGGGGCTGCCCGAGGAGAGCAGCCAGGGCGGCGGGGCCGGGCCGGGGCTGGGCGGCAGCCCGGAGTCGGGGCTGTCGAGGCCGGAGTCGCCCCGCTTCCTCATGTCCGGGAGGTCGGGCACCTCCCGCAGGCTGAGCCGCCCCACCATGGCCGAGCCGCCGCCGCCTGCCCCGGCCCGGCCCCTGCCCGCGCTGCGCTCCCTGCGCCGCCTGCGCCCGGGCGGCGGCGGCGGGCGGGGCGGGGCGGCCCGGGGAGGGGCCACACGGGGGCGGGGCGGGCCCGGGTCCCACCGGTGTCCCTGGGTCCCACCCGTGTGTCCGTGTCCCACCCGTGTCCCTGTATCCCACCGGTGTCCCCGTTCCCCGGGCTGTCCTCGTCCTGCCGGTGCTCGCCGTTTTCCCGCAGTCCCTGCCCTCCTGCTGATCCCACTCCTGTCCCGTCGCTCGGAATTTGCCATTGGAAGGTGGCGGTGGCAGAGTCACCGTCCCTGGGTAAGGACAGGCCGGCCTCAGTGCTCTGGTGGGGCTGACAAGGTGGGGATGGCTCCCGGGTTGGACTCGATGATCCCGGAGCTCTTTTCCAACCTAAACGATTCTGGGATTCTGCGGAACCGTGCCCGATGGAAACTTCCCTCCACACATCCTGCTCCGACCCACAGTGCACCATCCCAATGTGCTGCCAGCACGGATTTTGGGGAGCACTGAAAGAGCTGCCAGATCCTGCTGGGCTGCCCCCACCTCCAGTGGTGCTTTCCCCAAGAACAGGGATTTTGGCAGCTGGTTAAGACCCCCAAGTTCTCCCTCCAGGCTGCTCCTTCTCCCTCCCCATTCCCAAGCATTCGGGCTCAGGCAGCAGCGCTGCTGCCCTTAATTGCATTTTTCAGGCAAAGCTGCCGAAGCTGAAACAAGAGAACAGAAGGAAACGGTCATTCTAGCACTACAGGAGAGCGAGGGAACCTTTTTTGGAAAATCCTAATGAAATAATTGCGCCATGTCATCAGATTTGGTGGGGGAATACTCTTGTGGAGGGAAAGCAACCCTGCAGCCAGCCAAAGTCAACACTCCCCTGCACAGAAAGCAGCAGTCTGGGCTGATGGGCCCAGCACAAGTGAACCCAAACCTCTGAAAAAAATTCCTTCCCTGCCCCAAAATTAAAAGCAGAGCAGAACTTTCAGCCGTAGGCGTCTGTGGTTTGCAGCTATGCAGTGCTGGGAACTCCGGAGACTTCCTCAAGGAATTTACATTCCTTTGAAGAAATACTATGAGGCTGTTTGCTGAAAAATGCAGATGGAAAGAAAAGGAACATTAAGAATTTTGACTGAAATCTTTGGGGTCTGAGCAAATGTGCTGGACAGGTGTTTTCTTCTTTCTAATTTAAGTGTATCCCCCCCCCCCCAAAAAAAAAAAAGAGATGCTGGTCTCTGCAAGCAATAGGAAAACTGATCAGTCCTCGCTCCAAAATCTCCCATAAAAGCCCTTTATGAAATCAGATGCCTTGGAAGGCACTGGAGCAGTTTCCAGATGAACACAATCATCATTTCAGAGCTGCTGTGCAGCTCCTGGGTGGAAACCCACGCTGCCAACAACCCACTCAGTGCAGTTTAGGAGGGGGAAACTTGTGGCACATCCCAGCAGTCACCTCTGAGAGCTGTGGGTGCTCCCACAGCCACTCCCATGGGGACCAGGGTCCAAGACAGAGAGATCTCAGTGCCTGGGATAGGCAGAACTCATGGAAACCTTTCTGCTCCTTATTTACCAGCAAAAAAACCCTCCCATTCTGGCATGGCTTGACACAAAGAGTAACTTTGTCTGCCCTTCCAGGTTCTCATTCCTGTGCTTTGCAGCCCACCCGAGGGTCTCCTGCAGCATCCAGACCTGCAATTCTCCTGCTAGGATGAAAAGGAAGCATTTAAGCAGAATTTTAACTGCTCAATAACTCAAATACTGTTGAGTCACTGTGTACAGGGGCTCAGCTTTTTCAGGACGTGTACTCTGCCCCCTCGGAAAGTCTGACTGGTTTTAAGTCTCAAACTGTACCAACCCATGCCATCCCTGATGCCATTGGAAATCTTTTCCCCTGCCTGTTTGTCCACATTATTTACTCTTTAACTGCCCACACACAGGCAGGATGGGGCAGATAAAAGTCTCTTATCAAGATCCTCCTTCCATAAAGGACTTTCCACGAGGCTGGGCGTGCTCGGCTTAATCAGCAATGGAACCACAGGCAATGCCACGCGACAGCCCCATTGCTGGGAGAGGCAAACCTAAAGCATCCTGTGATATCTGAAAATGATAAAACTTTGGAAATAATAATAAAAATAATTTTGGGAAGTTATTTCCAAAGGATGGGAAGTGCCAGGCTGTGTCACACAGGAGCTGTGCTCACCCAGCACGGATGGCAGGGACGAGCGCTGACAGCACGTGGCTGAAGCTGCCGAGGTTTCATCAGCTTTTACAGCCCTGCTGCCACCGCCCTCGTGGAGCCAAGCAGAGGCTCGTGGAGGCTTGGCCATCGTCACTGGGATGCTGAGAGTCCTGGCTGTAAACCCGGGGGAAGAGAGGAACACCCAGCGCCCGGCGCTGCTCCTGCCCAAGGGCGGAGGGGGCAGGACGGCCAGGAGAAAAGCAAATGAGTCATTAATGCTCTGAGTGAAAGGAGCTGCTCCAGCGTCATGCAGAGCGTGGAAAAAGGCACTACCCCTTAATTAATCGCAAAGGAAAAATTCGGATCTCCCAGAAATCGCTCCCGCAGTGGCAGACAGCAGAACTGATGTGATTATTTAGGGGCGCAAGGTCGGGAGCGTTGAGCCACCCAGGCGGGGCAGGGAGCTGCTGTGGATGGGGATGTGGAAAAGGCAGAGAGGAGCTGCAGGAGCAGATGGACAGCAGGGAGTGCTGGGTCCAGCACAGTTTGGGTGAGGTCCATCCCGGCCACTGGGATTTGCAGCCGTACAGAAACACCCAGCAATGAGCATCAGTTACCATTTAATTCACGTTAGTGTCACACCCCACGTACAGCCAGGATTACACCCCAGTCTAAAACCATAAAAAGTGGCATTTTGTACAGAAAACACGTAATCATCCTTTATTCCCCAAAGCTGTAAACTCCAAAGAGCTAATGCACAAATAGAGACCTGCCAAATCTAATAAACACCCAATAGCCAGGGGCACAAAACTCTTACACCAGAAGTAGGAAACTGTGGATTTGTTCTCTGAAAATGGAACTCCAAACACTCAGCCCTGTAGCGTTCTTCAAAGGCTGAAACTAAAAATTCATTTCTCATTTTATTTCCTCTTATCTACAGAATGAAATGCAGAGAATGAAATGGGGGAAGCCTTTGGGTAAGACACACTATGATAACTTCAACATCGTCTTCAGCTATTCATAATTTAGTGAGAGACTTAGCCTTAGACAAAGCAAAGAAAAATTCATCTAAAATAAATTATTCATCCCCTCATGGGAATAATGAATCTCTGCAAATCCATGTTCCCTCCTCTCCAGCTCTGCAGTGTGGCACCTCGTGAGCCATCCTGCACATGCACCTTGAGATAATCTGTCCTTGGGGAATGGCTGCTCAGAATCCCAATGTGCTTTCAACCATTCCTTCCTCTGTCACCTAACAGGGAATCAGGAGACAACAGCAGATTTCTAAAACTGGAGTGATGAGAAACTGCTGTCCCTTCCCACAGGTGTTGTCATTGCTGCTCTTTCCTTCCCATCCCAGTGAAGCTCTGGGTGGATGAAACTCATGTTCCTGGAGCCTGATCTGCCCTCCCTGATGTGCAGCAGTGATTTTTACAATCCCTGTGAGTACAGCCCCTAAATAAATACAGTCCTAAGGCCCAAACTTGCCCTGGTGGGGAGCACAACCCTCCCAGGAAGGCATCTGACAGTGTGGTTGTTCCTCACCTGCCACACTGGTAAAGGATTTCCCTTTGCTGCACATGCAAGTGAAGCTCGAGTTAAATAACACAGGCACGACTGGCTGATCTGCCCTACACCCAGTGGGATGCACTCATGGTTGGGGATACGCCTTCAAAGTCTCCCAGAAAGGGCACAGAGGAGTTTGGGAAGAAATCCAGCAGTGCTAATAAAAAGGTGAGGCCTCGGTGCATGGAGACTCCTTGGAGAAGCATCCACTGATCCCAGCCCTGCTCCACGCTGGCTCTGTGCCTGGGGGCCAGGAGCTGGCCCATGGGAAGAGGGGCTGGGTTATCCAAAATATTCCACTGCTGCTTCTCCTCCCCTCTGCACTGCTGCAAGCTGAGGCTCAGAGGAACAGGAGGAGGAGGAGGGCCTTGAAGCCTGAGGCTGCTGAAAGCCTCCTGTGGCACCAAGCGACCCTGGATCCCTGACAGAGCCAGCATTTCCAGCACCTCTCCCTGCAGGCCAGCAGAGGTGCCAAGGATTTGCCTTTTTGTTTCATGGTGCTTTGTGCATGCCTGTCCTGGGAGCAGGGGAGAAATCTGCCCCGGGGCTCCCTCCTGAGCATCTCATTGATCCAGTGGAGCTGCAGGTGCCTGGATCCCAGCTGATAAAGGGTTGGGGTTTTCATGGTGGTGATGGGGTTGGTTCCCCCCACCCCAGAATAAATAATGAATCAGAGGAACAGCTCTGCAGCAGGGAGTGAGAACTGAGGCAAAACCCTCAGTGCTGCAGCAGGAGCTCAGCCAGGGTAAAAGCTGTGACACCAAGTGTATCACAGCCAGACAGCCTCTGAATCCACCTGAATGCTTTCTGTACTGCTGCCTTCCAGGTGCCTCTATTTTCTCCACCACATGGACCTGGCAATGCCCTGGGTTTCACTCCTGCTAAGCTGAGGGCAACACCTTGCTCAGATTCCTCCTCGGTCTGAAAGTGCCGATGGCTGAGAGATCACGGGGCTGGGAGGGACAGCACAGGGTGTAAATCACAGCCTGCCCAGCTCAGCAGCCCCGGGGCAGGGAGCTCCCAGTGCTCCCTCAGAGTCTCTTCTTGATGAGCTTCTCCAGTTTGCGGATGCGGGAGGATTCCTGCTCGGGCGTGGGAGCGCTCAGCGAGAGCGAGCCAGAGCCGTCGCCGCCGGGGGGAGGAGAGGGGAGGCGCAGGCGGAACAGGTCCAGCATGCTGCTCTGCTCGCTCCTCTTCAGGCCCTGGGGAGCAAAGGACAGCACTCACTGACCTGCCACCAGCTGCAGCAGAGCCCATCTCAAACCTCCACCTCAAAGACTCACCCACCAGAGACCCCTGAACAACCCCGAGCAGAGCAGGTATCAAAATGTGAAACAAACTCAAAACCTTTTCTCCAGCAGCAACTCTACTTTCAAAGAAAAGATAAACTTACAGTGCTTCTCTCACCCCCCAAGCCCCTCAGAATTCACACTGAATTAAAGTCCCCAGCAATCCCCAAGCAGCACTAGAGGATGAGCAGATTCCCATCCTCTCACCTTCATGTCGAGGATTTTCTGGAATGTGTCAGTGCTGCAGTCAGCGAGGAGCTTGATGTAATTGTCCACAAACACAACTGGGGGCTCGTGTGGAGCCATCACCACCTGCCAAGACAAGGAAAAAGAGATCAGACAAATAGGAATTAAAGGCAGTGCTCAGTCAGCTTTGGCACAGGAGTGACAGCGGGGCTGGCTCCTAAAATAAAATGTTTAAGGAACAAGAAAGAGGCTGGATATGAGAGGGGTAAAGGTGAGTGAAGAGAAGCAGAGAAAGGACAGGGAGGAAGTTGGGTCTCTTTCACCACAGCAGTGCTGCTCATGGGCTCTGCATCCTGTTTCAAGGGGCAGCAGGACTTGTCTGTGGCCTGTGGGCTGGCAGGCACTGGGGCATTGTTAAAGCTCAAGATTTTATCAAGCTGCAGGGGGAAGACAAGCTGGGGAGCTGCTCAGGGGACAGTGCTGGCAGTGGTGGTGGCACTCACAAAGTCCCAGGAGATCAGGCAGCCTGGACACAGTCCAGACCCTCAGCTTGGCTGTGTGTCCCTCCTGCTCCCTCCAGGACACACAGTGTGTCACAGGGGAATGTGACAACACTCTGGTCACCCCCTCAGTGCCCAGGACAGCGGGGGCCAGAGCTCTCTGCTCTGCAGCTCTCCTGACATGGCCACACACAGCCACTCTGTCCTTGGGCTGCAGCTCCTCTTGGACACCCCTCTGGAGGGGAGGGATGAAGGATGGGAACCCCCACCAACATCTGCCCAGGAGCAATCATAAAAAACAGGGAAAAAATCAAAATAGCATCAAAGCTGGTAAGATGATCCCTCACTGATGGGCTTTTCTTACATAAGCAGCAAACTCCACAGAGAACACATCTTTTGATAATGCTGGGCAACCAAACCTTCTTTCTGGGGAAGAGTGTGTCTGTGTTTGTCTGAGTGTGTGTAAATGGGCAGAAACAGCACCAGACCAGACCCTTCCCTGTCTCCAAAACCATTTCCATATGTTTGCACTGACCCAGCTCACCCCACACTGCATTCTGTCACCAAGACATTTCTTTCTTTCCCTGCACTTCAGACCACTGAAACATCATAGCCATGTATACACTTATAAATCCTTAATTTACAGCCCTTGTAAAAATCCTGTGCCAAGATGAAAAGCTGGAGCTTCAGAGAGCGTGGCCAGAGGAGAAGGGGAAGAGCTCAGCAGGGTGTGCATGGCCCAGGGCCCTCCTCCCCACTCCCATCTGTGGGGCTCAGCTCAGTGGACTTGTTTGTGCTGCCCATGGGCCCAAAGTTTGTCTTCCTGAATTACCTGCCCCAGAACAAGCTGGGAACACAGACTGCAGCTCCCAGTGCTGTCAGCCTGTGGCTGTTTGATCTGCAGTTCTGCACACAGCACGGGCTGTGTGACACAGCAGTGCCACTGCTGCTGCACAGCCTGGGGACCTGCAGCTCTCCATGTGCTGCTTTCCTCTCCAATGTGGTGCTAAGGGTACACAAATTAACTCCATTACTCTTGTGATTCACACACAAGCTCCAAGGAAAGACCTGCTCTGCACACAACAGGCACCAATCTTCCCTGCTCCCGTTAGCACAAACCAGGAACATTTTTATTCAGGTCATTTCTAGGAAAATTTAGACTACAATTCATTAACATTTCAGTCACCCCAGTGCAAAAGCAGGGAGCTGGAGGGCTGATGTCTGAACCCAGAGCACACACTGAGCTGTGACATTGCCCTGGGATGGGAGCAGAGCCACCCTGAGCAGCAGCTGAGCAGGGACAGCTCAGGCTCCTCACCCCCCTGGCCCTGCCTGTGCTCACAGGAGGCTCTGGCTGGCAGCTGCCCATCCTGCCTGACCCCAGGTCCCACTGATTCCCTCCCAGGAATGCCCTCCAGCATTGCTGGCCAGCAGGGGACAATCCCAGCACCCAGCAGGGCACAACTGTGCAGCTGCCACTGCTCCTCCTGGGATCCAACCTGGCTTCAAACTGGGAAGGGCAGATTGCTTTGCTTGCTGCTTTTCATGAAGACAACACTCTGCTTTTGGGTCATTTTCCAGGCACCAGGTCTGGAAAATGAAAAAGGGCTCTGGTGAGTACAGTAAGCCAGACATGTTTGCACTGGCTGTTGCACTAGACAGTAAACAGGTGACTCAAGCACAGCTTGGCTCCCTTGAGTGAGGAGTCTGCACAAAGCCTGGAGTAACCTGAACCACAGCAGACCCTCAGGGATGCAAACTCCGATTTCCACAAGCTCCTGAGGGAAAACCTGCCGCCCCAAGTCTCCAAACCTGAGCCTTTGGTTGCCTTGAAAAGTGAGGGTGAAAACTCCTTGGTGGTATTAGGAGAGAGTGGGGGCAAACCCAAGGGGAGTGAGCCAGGTCTGCAGAGCAGCTGGCAGAGCCCCCAGGCAGGCTCACAAAGCTCATGTGCAATTGCAGATTGCTGCATTCAGAGGAAGGGCCCCCTGGAATTCACTGCTGTGATTCCCAGGCCAGCAGTCTGGCTGGCAGGGTACCAACAGGCTTGAGTTACCTTCAGGATCATTTCAGCCCGAGTCATGCCTTTCACCACTATCTTTGTGTAGCTGGCAGGAGCCTTCCTCACCACTTGGGACCCAATGGAGGGCAGATCCAGGAGAACCATCTTCAGAGAGTGAGTGTCCAGCAGCAGCTGCAAGGGTTAACCACACTCTGTTACTCAGGCTCCTTCTACACCAAAATCCATCAGCTGCGTAACCCAACATCCTTCAAAGTTTAACATCCTAAAAAGTTTAACATCC